AACATCCCTCCCAGAGAGGTACATTTGTTACAGTTTATGAACCTACATTGCGTAAGAGAGGAAAATAATTTTCCCTCTACCCTTCTGAGTTCTTACCTGTGTAATGAAAGACAGATTAAGAAGAGAAAAGCAAATGGAAGTTTATATACCTCTTATGCATGGGAGATACCTAGTGAAAGAAGAACTCTCCAAGGTGGCTTAGAACTCAGGCTTGAACACCATTTTAATAAGGAAAGGGTATGTCTGTGTAGACCTTTTGGGGGAGAGCAAATGATTTTTAGGAAAGATGAATGGGCCCTTAAAAGAACACATGGGAGATGAGAGTGTGTAACAAAGTTTGTCTGGGTGTCTACTTCTAGTTTCTTCTTCTGTGATGAGTCAATCTTCTCTGGTTGATGAAACTCTCAGAAAGGAGATTTGTGATAACTGAGTTCCTATTCTTGGAGGACCTGTCTTTAGGCAGATAAGGTATTCAGAGAAAGCTGCTTCCTGCATTTGCTATTATTTTTCAAGTGTCTACAGTTCGAAATAATCAACATACCCACGCAGCATATTTTGGGGTGGCATGTCCTGAACTTCTACAGATCTATTTTGGGGTGGCACATTCCACTACCCTTCATTCAGCGCATCATTATCACTCAAAGTCCATAGTTTACGTTAGGGTTCACGCTTGCCATTATGTGGCACCAATTTTCAACCGGTGTGTGGCAAGAAGCATGCTGGTGTGCCACAATAATTTTTAAAACATGCAATACCTGACTATATAGTCAGGGCACTAACCTCTTTTCACAGAGTTTGTCAAAATAAAAAAATGACAAAGCCAACACAATAGCCATCTGGTGTGAATAAATGAAAATTATACCTATTTTTTGGTCAGATCAACAATACATATATTTTTTGGTGTGCCGCAGAATTTTAGTAATTAGTTTATGTGTACCGTGAGATAAAAAAAAATTGAAAGTTGCTGTTCTATGGTATTGGACAATTGTATAGTGACATGTGTCCACCATTGTAGTATCATACAGAGTAGTTTCATGACCCTAAAAACCCTTAGCGATCCCCCTCTGTATCTCCCCCTCCCTCCATCCTCACCCCTGGCAACCATTGATCTTTTTACTGCCTCCATAGTTTTGTCTTTTCCAGAATGTCATATAGTGAGAGTCCTACAGTATATATGTAGCCTTTTCGATTGGCTTCTTTCACTTAGTAACATGCATGGAAGATTCCTCCATGTTTTTTCATGGCTTGATAGTTCATTTCTTTTTAGTGCTGAATAATATTGCATTGTCTGGATGTATGTACCACACTTTATTCATTCACCTACTAAAGGACATCTTGATTGCTTCTAAGTTTTGGCGATTATAAATACAGCTCCTATAAACATTCGTGTGCAGGGTTTTAGATGGACATAAGTTTCCAGTCCTCTTGGGGAAATACCAAGGAGTATGATTGCTGGATCAGATGTAAGAATAGGTTTAGTTTTGTAAGAAACTGCCACCCTGTCTTCTACAGTGTTACATTCCTACCAGCCGTGTATAAGAGTGCCTGTTGCTACACGTCCTCACCAGTGTTCTGGATTTTGGCCATTCGAATACTGGTATTCATTGTTGTTTTAGCTTGCATTTCCATGATGACATATGATATGGAGCATCTTTTCACATACTTATTTGCCACCTGTATATCTTCTTTGGTAAGGTATATTTTGGATAACATTTCTTTATCCTACATATCTTTTGCAAATATTTTCTCCCAATCTCTGGCATATCTTCTCGTTTTCTTGATGGTATCTTTCACAGAGCAGAAATGTTTAATGTTAATGAAGTCCAGCTTATTAATTCTTAAATAGATTGTCCTTCGGCGTTGTATCTAAGAAGTCATTGCCAAACTCAAGTTTTTTCCGGTGTTGTTTTCTAGGCGTTTAATAGTTTTGCGTTTTACATTTAGGTCTGTGACCCATTTTGAGTGAATTTTTGTGAATGCTGTGAAGTCTGTGTCTAGACTCATTTTTCTGCGAACTTACAGCTGTTCCAGTGCCATTTGTGAAGACTGTCGTTGCGTATTGTATTGACTTCGCTCCTTTGTCAGACATCAGGTGACTATATTTACACGGGTCTATTTCTGGGCTCTCTATTCTCCTCCATTGACCTACTTGTCTGTTCTTTTACCAGTACACACTGTCTTGATTATTGTAGCTTTATAGAAAGTCTTGAATTAAGGTAGTGTCAATCCTCCAGTTTTATTCTACTTCTTTATTATTGAGCTGGTTTTTCTGGGTCTTTGGCTCCTTCATTATTAAGAGTCTAAAGCGGGGGGTCCTAAGAGAAATGTTTGAGAATTGCTGTTGTAGAGAAAGATGGACAGACACAGAGATGTGTGCATTAAATTCTTATGATAGGAAAGAGGATAGAGTGTAGTGGAGGGGAACCCGAACTGAGTTTTGTACATCCACTGCCTTGTTCTGGGGGCCGAACACCCTGCTGCTTTAGGGTGCATCTCTGAGTCCAAATTTAGAGGCCATGTGACACAGACGTGAACCTGGTCTCATGAGAGACTCCGAGAGGGGGTGGGGGGCATAGGGCGTGGATTGTCCACCTCCCTCGGACTAGAGAACACAGGGCAGAGGGGCCGTTTGGAACTGGTCTTGCACTTCTCTGAGAGGAAGGCGGGTCTTGGTTGTTAGGGTGGCGCAGGTAACTCCAGGGCTGTGCCTGCCTGCTGGCCTTCATAACTGACATGTTAAATCTCAAGAATAAACCATGTTAAAAAGGGGAACAGTCCCCTCTTGTACTGATCACCCACCACCCTCTCCGTTCTGCAGGGAACACATGCAGCGGAGAAATGGAGGGGCTTTAGTCTCAAACCCCAGAACAAAAACAAATATATCCCCAGGCCTGTTGGACTCCTCCGGAGAGAATGTGTTGTTTGCAGAAAGAGGCCGGTTGCTTCCTCTGCTCCCTGCACCTGGGCCACACCTCAGTCGCAGATCCCTCCGGCAGTGAGAGAGGCCGGCAGCTGGCCTGAGCAGAGCTGAGGGTTGAATGGGGCCGCCTTCAGATCAGGCCACACAGCTGCTCCCTGACCCAGTTGACCTCATCAGCTGCAAGAGCATCATGAGGAATCCCAAGAGCAAGCCAAAGGAAGCAAGGCCGAGGCCAAGCCTTCCTGTACCCCAGCCTGTGCGAGCACATCGCCCCCGGGGACCAACCCAGATGGCTTCCCGTTCATTAGCCATTTGCCAGACACGTCTTCAGACCCCGCTCCTGGCACCGTGCCCGAAGGAACAGCATTCCTGGGGGACACTGGTGGGTTCAGAGGGCCCCTAAAGGTCCAGACATCAGGCGTGTATGCTATGGTACAGGGAGAAGGCCTAGAGTTTTTATCGAATGTTCAAAGGCAAGGGGAAGTTCTTTCTCAAAAAAGGGTGAAGAACCACTATGTCAGAGGTCAGCAGTCACTACAGCAGCTCTGTTGAGGGTTTTCAAAATAACATCAATTAAATAGCATCAATTCAACAAAAATAGCTCTGTTGTTCTTCAAGCCTGGCTCAGTGCTAAGAGCTGGAGATGCAACAATGAACAAGGCCAGATGCCATCCGTGTGCCATTGAGGAACACAGATACAAATCACACACACACACACACACACACACACACACACACACACACATGCACACACACATGCACACACCCACGCGCGCGCAAGCACACACACACACACGTGTCAAATTTCAAATCATATCTTGCTATGAAGGAAAGAAACCTGGTTTTGTGACGGATATAACAGTGGATGTTTAGTTTTTATTTTTATATGTTTGTTTATTTTTGAATAGGTAATGCACTCATGTTAAAAAATTTCAAAAGAGTTATACAGTGACACCACCCACCCACCCTAGCCCCTAGCCACTCCCTGGGGGCCATGCATGTTCTCCAGACTGGTGAGTGGCCTCTTGCTGTTAGGACAGGGAGAGAAGAGCAAGCTTACTTGAGAATATGAAGCTTGAAATGAAATTTGAAGCATGCATGTGAGTTAACTAAGTGAAGGGGACTAGAAAGAAATGTGGAAAGTACTCTAGACAGAGGCACTAGCTTGTGCAAAGGCCCTGTGGCAAGAGACTGCATGATGTAATAGAAGAACTAAAAGAACACCCGTGGCTAGAATGCAGAAAGCAGGGAGGCAGAAGTCCAGGATGCTGGTGGGTGGGGAGGATGCACTCTTGTAGACTGCTCAGCATTAAGGTTTTTCCCCTGAAACCCGCTGAACGAGGAGGGGAGATAACCGGCAGTCACACTTGCATTTTGAAACTATCACCCTGGCTTTTGTATGGGATTGGCGGGGAAAGCCGCCAATGGGTTCTTATTCAGTTCAGGTGAGAAATGATGTGGGTTGGTGGTGGTGCTTTATCTACTTATAATATAGCAGGTCCTCAAATAACAGCATCATTTTGTTGTAATGTTGATGAGATGCTATAAGAACTTAACTCTTATTTATATCAGTTGCTCTATGGCAAAATTGGTTTTGTGATCCGTTGTTTTGTGGCAGTTCCGAGAAGCGTTTGATGATGATATGTGAGAACTTAACTGTACACTGCAAGCAATGTGTTGGTGGGTGTGGTTCTTGATTCTGAAAAAAAAAAAAGTCAACAAAACGTTTGTTTCAATTCTCTCAACCGAATGGAAGAGAATTCATAACAGGAGTTTGCTTAGAATGTGGCTAGATTGTGTGCAAGCATGTGGCCAAACTGACAGAATAATTTAGCATTCCTGTAAAAAGGCAGATGGGCAAAGGGCTGAATCTCCTAGAATCTTGCCGGAAGACACTTGGTCCGGCCTCCCACCTGCTCACCCCCTGCAGGGGCCCTCCAGTGGCAGGAGGTTGTCACTGTGGCCACGAGGTCATAGCAGAGTGACCATGTGGGCGATGCTCAGTAAGTAGAACTCCCGGGGCTGGAGATGTTTGGGTATGTGCACACTCAGTTTTCCTTCTGTCCCCCTGACCCCCAGGAATGGCTTATCCCGAGGAGCAAGGAGGCGTCCCCTGTGGCTTCCTCCGCCAGAATTCTGGCAACTCCGTTTCCTTGGACTTCGAGCCCCACACTGAGTACCGGTTTGTAGAGCAATTAGAAGAGCGATACAAATGTGCCTCCTGTCACTCGGTGCTTCACAACCCCCACCAGACGGGATGTGGGCACCGCTTCTGCCAGCACTGCATCCTAGCCCTGAGGTGAGTGGGCTCTAGATGTCAAGTGTGGCCTCTCAACTGTAATTGTGGTTCTGGAATGGCTGTGGTTGGCCACAGAACCATCAATCTGAGGAGGGGCTCTCCTAGGCCCCTCCTGTGAGATGCCCGAGGAGCCATCTTCATTTTTTGCCACTCGCTGACTGATTCTCACCTTTGGTTAAAATCCAGACCACGCCTGCTTTGCATGTGAGGACAAACCTAGAAGCCCATCTGTGTTTCCCCCAGGGCCTGCAGACACCCTGCCTTTCCTTGCCTAAGGCAGCGGTGACGTCGTGGAATCTCTCGGGCATGGGGGCTGTTCGCTCCTGGGTGGCTATAATGCCTGGCTCATGCCCTGTGGAGGGAGTGGACCAGGAGAGACATAAAAGTGGGCGTTTAGGGCTTATCGAGGGGCAGGGAGGAAGTTGTATCCTGCCCAGCTGAGAAAGGGGGTTATTACAGCACACGCTCATTCATTCATGGGCTCGTTCGTTCAGTGCCCGTGTGTTCCAGGCACCTTGCTAAACTAAGCTCCAGTGTCCAGAGTTGGAGAGCTGAGGTCCAGTGTGGAACAGGACCCAGTCTCTGCCTTCTAGAACATTCCAGTCCAGTGAAGCAGACAGGCAGGCGGTGGTACAGTGTGATAAGCAAAGGACTGGAGAGGGCATTCAACTCTGTGGGGGGGACTCACTATTTGATTTGCGTCCTGGGAATGCAGGGGAGTTTATTTTCAGACTGAAGAGGTGCTGGAATTAGGGTGCTGGGGGCCTTCTGGGAGAGGGAATAGCATGAGTGAAGACAGGGCCTGGGCTGCTCTGGGGAAGGTCAGGGGGCCGAGCATGGCCCGAGTGCTGAAGAGCTGTCAAGGTCAACTCTGAATTCTGGCTCTATTTTTATTTTTCTCTCCAGAGAATTAGATGCAGTGCCGCTCTGCCCTGTGGATAAGGAGGTCATCAAATCTCATGAGGTAAGAAAACCACTGCTTTGGGTTAGCAAGTCTCTAGTTGATAGAGAAGCCAGTGTCCTGGTTGGGCATCGCGGTTGAAACAGGAGAGCGGGAGGGGGTCTTCCCTGGGGTCCATATTCCTCTGCTGAGGGCTCAGGTTGGACCCCCACTCCTGACGCTGTCTGAGAGGCTTGTTTGGGTCTTTATTGACTCCCCACATTTCTTCTCCTGCTTCTTCCTTCTCCCGCTTCCTATCCCGGCTCCAGCTCTCCTGAGTCACTTGGAGAAATGAAACATCCTGTTTCCTGGAATCCACTATCTCATCTGGTTAATCTCGAATACTTCTTTTGGTTATTATGTCTAACGACAGCCTTATCGGGCTAGAATTCACATGTCTTAAAATCTTCTTGTAACGTGTCCATGTTTCTTGGGTATATACCTAGGGGTGGAATTACTGGGTCAGATGGTAACTATGTCTCACACTCTGAGGACCTGCCAGACTGGGTGTTTTCCGAAACAGCTGCACC